GGTTACACTAAATATAGTAACTGAAAATATTCTGCTGTAGTGTATATGTATAATTAATTAACATGAAATTGGTAAACTTGCAAATAAAATTTGACCCCTGGTAGAATTATAATTTTTTTCTAAATCATATAGTATAAATAAAAATTCCCCTTTTTTTTTGGGCGTCAAATCCATTATATTTGGGCTTTTGATTTCATTAATCATGGGCTCAAATTTTGTGGCTTATATTGGACTATGATTGGGGCGTCCGGAAATGACTATTTTAGCTCTCATAAAATAATCCCCCTATCCTCTCCCCCTATATATTATTCCAGAACGCGTTGAGCCTACGTGGTTGCTTCTGGTGCTTCGGAATTCTATGTGGCAAAATTACATGCTTCGTTATTAGGCTTGGGTAAATTTTAATTTAATTCCAAACCAAAAATAATTAGGTTCGAATTACCATAAATATGTTGATTATTTATGGTATCAGTTTTACATATGTAATATATCAAATTAATCTTCTTTTGATGAGCTTCGATTTAACATCTATATTGTATGTATAAAAAAATAATTTATATTTATCTTAATAACAATGAAAAAATTATTTTTAAAATTAATTAGAAAAATAAAATTATTTATCAACTAATATATTTATATTTCAAGTAGTTATATGATATAAGTTATAAAAAATAATATAATATAACACATGAAGTCATAAATAGCACATATCATTCTAAAATATATAATAATATAATTTTTTTGTAAAAAATAAATTAAATTTAATATAATTTTCTCATTAATTTTAAAATTTAAGAATAATTTTTAACAAGCACCCGTGTAATACACGGGTATTGTACTAGTATATATTATATTAAAATGTGGTTTGTTTGGATTTTTTGGGTTTGTTTTAATTTTTTGGGTTTTTTTTGTTAATTTTGAAAATGTGGTATGGTTAATTGTTAGTGGATATATTAAAATAATATATAAAATAAAATACTTAAAATTGATTTGATGTAAAAGTAGGAGTTATATGATTTGAAGTTATAGTTAGTTAAAATAATGTGAGTGGATGAACAATGAATTAAGGTTGATGTGGTGTGTGAATGATTCATTGATATTATTTAATTATATTGATAATATTGAGGATAGTGAGGTTGAGTTAAAGTCGAGTTAAAAAAATAGTTGAGTTAAAAATGTTAGAAATTGTTTGAAAATTCTTATAAACAAACATGTTCCAAATATTGGAAAATGCTACAATACCGTTACAGAACCATTCCGTCGGGATTTGTAACCGTTAGATCATCATGTAATCATCGTGGATAGTTGATCTATTAGTTACAAACTTCGACAGAATAGTTCCGTAACCAGACTCTAGAATCTCCCCTAAATATTTACTTGTTTCATCCAATTGTGACTTTTAGAGCGTCACATGATTTATGAAAATTGATAACAATTCAATAATTAAGAATCGGGAAAAATTTATAACTGCTCCTTTTTAATAATGATTTTACAAAACAATTGCAAGCCATTCACAATACCCAATTTACTCCAAACATTAGACAAAAATAGGTAGACACTAAAAAAATATAAAAAATAAAAATTAAAGAAAGATGCAATATTATTTTTAAAAACTACCTATTCAACGTTCTTATCCATTTATTTCTCTCTCTTGAACATCCTTATTTATTTTTGTTTCTCTTCCTCTTCTCTTTCTCTCTCTCCCGTCTTTTTTTTTTATTCTCCCTATTTCTCTTCTCTCTCTCCAATCTCTTTTCCTCATATCATTTATATCTTCTTCATGTTTTTTCTTTTCCTCTTCTCCAAATATTTCTTCTTATCTTCTCCTCCAAACATGAATACCTAAAGAAAAAAAATAAAAAAAACAACCAAAAGGATATAATGTAAATAAAAAGAATAATATACATAACATTAATTAAATTAAATAAAAAACAACAAAATTTTTGTTATTATAATTGATGACAAAAATTATGAAAACAAAAAACAAGATTAACAACAAAACAACAATATACGATTTGTTAAGTAACATAAAAACAACTATAAATCAATAATAAAATATTGACAAATTCAGTTTTATAAACAAATAAATGAATGGAACACCAAAAAGTCTAACAAATTTTTTGCTTATTTGCTAAACAAATAAATAAATGAGAACTGCAAACAATATGTTCGGATGCCAACAACTACATTGAAAGAGGTAAAATGAAAAGTAAACATTTACTGTAAAATAATCACAATTTGCATAATTAAGAAACGTTGCAGCTTCACAATTAAAAAAATTATCAAATTTTTTGCTTAATGTCACTCCCCTTCTCAAAACCCAACATTTAGTATTTGGAATTTCATATATATTACTTACATTCCCAACTGAGTGGAACTTTTGTTCATACAAATAAGATTATAAAATTGGAGCAGCTGCGATTTCAATTAATAGCTAAAGAGAAGAAAAAAAATCATTACCCAGAACATGATAATGCCGCCCATGAAAGTCACACACAAGGCAGCGCCCAGACAATGGAAAAACATTTCAGTCAGGTCACGAGCACATGAGAGTTTTGGCCGTCCGATTTCGATCCAAAAATTTCCGGCTAGAAAATTAACCCAATTGCCAGAAACGCCAGCGTGGTTAGAAATCTTGTCATCCAAGCCATCTCTTATTCTTCTTTTTTACTTTTACTTGATTTCTTATGGTGCTTAAGAATAAGAACCCTAATAGAAAGAAAAAGCAGACGCCTACAAAGAAAGAGGAAGAATACGAAAAGCAGAAAAGGTTTTGGAGACAGTATTATAAAAAGTTGCGGCAGTTAAAAAATAAAATCAAATAAAATAAACAACCGCCATATTTATTAAACCCCAAAAGCGGCCAAAAAAAAAGGGGTACAACTGAAAATAGAAGGAGTAATTTTGTCTAAATAATAAGTTGGAATAATTAGGTAAATTGTTTAAACCATGAGATAAGGGGTGTACTTATTTCTTAAGAATCCATGTCAATAGTGTAATTGGTTTAGATTTAGGCCCAATATGTTCAAGTTGGGCTCCATTTGTTATGATCTCTAATGAAATTTGGAGCAGAAAGGTTCAATTGGGCCACATTTGTTGTTTCTTCACAAGCGTTGGCGGCTACATAAAGCATCGATACCCTGTCAACTTCCCGTAGACTGAAACACACAGGTGACCACAGGCGAAAAACCCCTTTCGCCATCAGCAATGGATCGCAAAGGTACGGAGGCGCAGCAGTACGTATGGGGCGGCGCATTACCGCTTCAGATTCATCTCCACGATTCTGAAGTCACCACGCTCCCACCGCCTCCACCTGCGCTGGTACCCTTTTCAGTTTTGGTTTTGATTGCTTGTTGTTTGATTTTTTGACAATTATCTTTCGATTGGAAAAGTAGCGATAAATTTTATTGGGAGGAGCGTAATGATGGTAGTTTGTTTCCAATTGACAAAATGTTAATGAAATTATTTGATTGCATGGTTTTTGAAAGGATAGCTAGTTGGTTAGTAATGGTGAATTTTATGAATAAACGTGTAATAATGATCAAATTGTGATTTGTTGGTGAAAAATGCGATAACGGTTGGTGGGTGTGAGAGAATGAAAGTGGATGAATAATGTAATTTTCGAAGATTTTGATGAGAAAACTGTTCTGTTAAGTTTTGTTTGGATATTTTTCCGTTTGATCGGTGTCCAGAGTTTCTATCTTTGGATTACTCTGTTAAGTTTTGTTTAGATGTTTTCCCTTTGATCATGGCCGGAATTTCTAATTTTCGATTAGAGTATGCTAGCGAATGTGCGAGGGGCTGGCATGCCGTTGACGTCAACATGTTGTTTTTGTGTTCTATTGTGTGTGTTAGATATTGGCCCCACGATTAGGGTATTTGCCTTTGTTGAGAAAACTATTCTGTTTCAAGTTTCGTTTAGATATTTTTCTTTTTTGTTTTTCAAATTTGGATTAGAGAATACTAGCGAATGTGTGAGGGGCTGGCAATTTGTTGACTTCAACATGTTGTTTTCTCGTTGTATTGTTTGTTGCAGATATTGGCCCCACGATTGGGGTATTTGCCTTTGTTGGTACCTCAGATCAAGCCATTCTTTAGCAGTTCTCTTCCTCCTGGATCCGATACCGTGTGGTTTGAGTACAAAGGATTGCCACTCAAATGGTATGTATTTAATTTGGCTGATTGTTTAGGAAGTATTCCATCTGTCTTTTGATAAATGGCTTGGGTAGAATTCATCCCCAAAAATAGGTCAAAGGGAGAGTGTGTCCAACCTACAGTGCCAGACTTTTAAGCAATAACATTTCAGTAACTAGCAGGTGTGGGACAAACATAACTTCAAACATGTTCAGTTGGTAATGTTGCATTTTGTTTGTAGTCATAGAAGTCTTTTGTTTTGTGCAATCTTATTCTTTCCCCTATGCAGTTGATAATAGTCAGTTTTTACATTTAATGACGTCAATGTGTTATAAATAGTTTGGATGGGAACCAAAATGAATAAGCTAGTATAATACCCTTTTTTCCCCCCAGTTTTGATTTAATGTAAGTGAGTGTTTCCAATATTACTTGATTCACGATACTTAAATGAATGCGAATAGGGAAAAATATGGATCATAATCTATTTGTTTAGGGTAGAATATATTTCTTGTAAATTAATATGGAAAAACTCATTTCATATCTATGTGGGTTTGTCACACTTATATATGTAGGTCATGTTGCATGCTGGACATAACAGAAATGAAACACATATATATGTCTGTATATGTAAGCTTAATGGTCATACTAAATTATATATTTATATTTTTAATCTTCTCGTTTAAGGTTATAGTAAGAAAAAATATCTCTTAATCATATTATCGTTGTAGTTTGGACATTCTTACCCCTCTCCTGGCCCGCAACCTACATAAAGGAAAAAGAAAACAAAAGGGACAACTGAGCTTACATGTCGAATTTGATGAATGTGGTTGGCCATTGTTGTTGTTGTAAACTTTATCGATTAGCTAGTTTCGTTTTTTATTCATGTACTTAGTTCATGAGAAGATTAATGCTTCTGAATTCATTTTTCTTGATATGTTTCATACCCTTGATAGGTATATACCTACAGGAGCACTCTTTGATCTTCTTTGTGCTGAACCAGAGCGGCCGTGGAATTTAACAGTATGGAGTTACTCTAGCTTGCTATGAATTTTTTCTATGGTTTTTGAAATCAGTATTTGAAATATAATGTCAGTAATTCGATGTTGCTCTTGGACTAAGATTGAATTGAGAAAGAACTAGGTTTTACCGATAACTGCTGCCTCAGATTATTTAATGCTCACTTTTCTACGAAGAATATATACTCAGTCGCCAACCAAAGTACAACTCCTAGAGTAGGCCCTGATTGGAAATAAAACTTAATGAATTCTGTAATGTGAAGTCAGCTCTCAATATGCTGTGTCCTAGCCCACAGAACCTTCTGCTTGGTAGGACACATCATTCACCTTATCATTCCCATGCGTTTGAAGTGGATTGTCATTCACATCAGTGCTTCTCAGGAAAAACTAGATGAGTATCTTTATTGAAAGCAATCCCATGAGCATGTAACCAGATGTGTGGGGGTACAAGACATTATGTTTTTATGGTTTAATCACTTTTAGCTGATTATAATTTTGTATATCCCTGCAGATACATTTTAGAGGATACCCTGGAAATCTATTGCTCCCTTGTGAAGGCGAAGATAGCACAAAGTGGAGCTTTATTAATGCTCTGAAAGAGGTTAGTTTAACTTTCTGTATACTTTTACAACTGTGACCTTCACTATGGAATTTGATTTTTAACTTGGGAAAATTACATTTTACCAACCTAACTATCCAGAAATTTACACTTTGCCCACAAAACTTTTTTTTTTACACTTTGCCTACCTAACTTTGATTTTTTGTACACTTTGCCATTTCCGGTCATTGTCAGGGACATGTGGCAATAAGGCACAAAAGCCACGTACTGGTTTATGACGCCGGCGGTGACCGGAAATGGCAAAGTGTACAAAAAATCAAAGTTAGGTAGGCAAAGTGTAAAAAAAAAAAGTTTTGTGGGCAAAGTGTAACGTATAGTTAGGTAGGTAAAGTGGAATTTTCCCTTTTAACTTTGTAGCATTTGTGTGCTCATATATTCATGCACAATATGGACTTAAGTTTTGACGTTGAAGCAAGATATATAAGAGTGATGTGCCGACTTCCACAGCTCATAACCATAAGTTAATACTAGGCGTAGACGTTAATAACTATGTTCTTTTTTGGTGTAAACTTTCTTTTCATACTCTATATCTTCGATTTCCTTTTAATCCTGTAAATTCTTTTAATATTTTAGGACAGTTATATGTTATTTATGGTCTTTCCGGTTCAGTACCCTTTTAGCATTTTACTTTAACATTTTATAATAGCCATAGATGCTGTTGTATTGAATGATCCCGGCCGGTTAATTTCCGTTCATATAATGCATACAGCCCTAGTTGCCGGTTGGGCGGGCTCGTCTTATCGGTCTTACTCGTGAAAAATCTTGTTCGAATTTTGGGAACGGAACAAAAGAAAGTTGGTCGAATGAATAAATGGATAGGGGCCCTAGGGCTTCAATTAATTATTAGAAAGAAAAAGCAACCCGCTTCTGTTCTTAATTTGAACCGTCCGTATAGAATGGCAGCCGATGAACTAGTAGAGCTCAAGAAGCAGTTGCTCAATAGTACTTTGGTAAATACACAGATTTTGTTTTTTCTTCAATCTTCATTCTAAAAAAATCCCCCAGTTCGAAAAATCATTCTGGTCTCTCCCCTTCTCCTTTATTTCCGTTTGTAGGGTGCATATTTTAGTAGGGGTATGTGTGTGTGTGTTTCTTTGGCTTGAAAAGTGCCAATGTTGTTTGAATAACAGGTGAAGGTTTCACTTCAATGTCCTGTTGTACAAACAACAGGCGGAGTTTTGCAAAATCCCTGTTATTCAAAGTTTCAAACAATTCCCAGTTGTTTATAAAATGGGCTAATCTGGGCTAAACAACATGTGAAATTATGAACCACATACCATGTCAGTTTAGACGTCATGTGTTTGCCTAATGTCAAGGCCATTATTTAACCAACAGAGCCTGTTACTCGAAACTTGACCTTTTGTTTAAGGGTATTATAGGAATATATATAATAAAAATATCATATGGGTATCTTGAGTATCATTATAATAAAAATGCCATCAAAGTTCTTTGGGATGGCCATCCATGAATATTTCCAGTTCAATGTAACTTTCTCTGAAAATGTCAATTACATAATTTTTTCTGCAGGCAGCATATATAATTAATGGAAACTGCAAGAATATAATGAATATGTCTCAGTCTGATCAGGCAGAACTTTGGCGCTCTGTCTTAAATGGTATGAAGCTATGTCTTTAATGATGTGTGCACCAGTTACTTTATTCTGAGTTATGATTAATTACTTCCAGTCTTCACACAGAGTTGTGAAATTGTTTAACTAGTGATAACGTGTGTATTTTTTTTTTTTTTAAAATCACTGACATTGAAGTTACTTTGTTAAAGGACTGAAGTATTTTCTTTTATTTAAAATCATTATTGTTATATCTCAGGCCAGCTGGAAGCTTACCTGCGTGTTTCTTCCAAACTTAAACTTGACATTGTTGCCGATGACTTTTCCCTTAAATTGAACTCATCCACGTCAAACCCTCGACAAAGCTGTACTGACTCAGATACTCCTGGAACCACCAGGACAGGTGAGTTAAGACTTAAAAGAGGAAATTATTTGGCTGTCCACTTAGTATATCTGGAGTTGTGCAATTTGTTTTTTCATTTTGGTTATTGCAGACTAACTGAGGATGTTCTATTTCCTTTCTATTGCTTGAAGGCACTGGATGAGAGTAGGTATATAAGTGATAATAATACTTCGTTGGATTCATAAATTAATAATTGGTGTTGAAATGCCCATCGTAAAAGAAGTGGTAATAGTATGTGACCCTAGAATGAGCCATGTAGTAGGTGATTATATCCTCCTTTTTTTCTCCTCCGCCATTTCTCTTCCTCTAGAAGAACGAAATCACTTCATTGTATGATTGATATCCACTATATTTCTGAAAATACAAGATATTATAGTTGAAAAGTAATTTGGAATTTTGGTAGCTCTCTGTATTGCGCAGGCTGTATCCTCGAAACATGTTTTTTCATGTCTCCTCTCTGTTTCTAGAATTCAACACTTTTCATCGGGATGAGATTTCCTATTTCAAAAATCTTGTTCCAATTCATGTTTCATTCCAGTTGATAAACGACATGGGTCTATGATGATGTCATAATTATACATGTGTCAATCATCCAACAGAATGGAATGTAAATTGGAACATGATTTTGAAACAGGATAGTTTCCCTTTTTTATCTCACTAGTCTAATAAGTTGAATGCTAGTGGACAATGACATAACGCATATGGTTATAGATTAATTTTATTTTGTCAGAGATGGTATTTCTTGCCCAAATTTCAGGATTCTGCATAATATTAGTTTAATTCCAAGATCGATCTTTCTGATACTGATTGAAGCCATGTGGTAAATCTTTAGTTTCTAAAGTAATCAATAATATTGGTCAACTGTTCTTCGAATGTAATTTAAACTTGTTCTATCGGTGCCTGCACGTTAATATATGTTATTTTCAGGTAGAATTCCTGTTCGATTATATATAAGGAATATTGGTAAAGATATTGATGACTTAGAGGATGCTCCTATTGTTGATAACTGGGATATAATCTCTTACATAAATCGTCCGGTTGAAGTTAATGATGAAGGTGAGTTTTGGATCTTGGGCCGAATGCTACTTTCCTTAGCTTTTAACATTATTCTACATGATTGAGCTCATTAGCGTTTAGTTACTGTTCATATCGCTCCAAAAAAGACAACGATGAAAAAATTTAATCTTGTGTTTTTTTTTTTTTTTTTCTGGATTAATAATATCATTATCCACATCTCAAAATTTGCAGGAAAATGCTTTACTTTGCACGACGCAATAAAATCCATATTGCCCGAGCTCTTCACGAAAGAAACCTGTGTAGATAATAATGCAAGTGGATCGGAACTGAAGTGCGGATTGAAAAGCACCGAAGAAAGTGAGGAAGCAAAATCAAAGAGTGCTGAAATTAAGCTTGTTCGTATTCAGGGTATTGAGCCGAAACTGGAAATCCCGTTCGGCTGGGTTGTAAACAACTTGATGAACCCAGAGTACTACCTTCATATCTGTGTATACCTCAAAGTTCCAGAACTGAACACTGTTATATGAAAAAAAAAAACTTGATGCCGTATGTTGATATTGTAGCCTGCTGAAAATGTCATTTTTTTGTACATGTTAAGTTGGTTCTCAATTTTAATCTCTATATACATGATGTACAAATTAAAAGGCAGTTCAAACTTTAACCTAGATAAAACTGATAGCATATTTGAGGATTTTATTGCTGACAATTTCGAGGATTTTATTAGATTGTGGTACCATGTATCCTTCAAATTTTCAATTTTATTCACAAATTTACTTTTATACTAGTACAACACCCGTGTATTACACGGGTACTTGCTAATTTTTATTTTAAAATTTAAAATTAATGAGAAAAAGTAGTTTGAAAATTTAAATCCCTTTTATAAGAATATATATATTATATATTTATTATGATACTTTTTATTTGTGCGACTTACTTGTGTTATATTATACTAATTTTTTAACTTACAATATATAACTACATTAAATATAAATATATCAATTGAGAAATAATTTTATTTTTCTAATGAATTTTAATAAATATTATTATTTTTTATTATTATAAAGATAAATATAATATATTTATTTTATATATACAATATGGATGTCAAATCGAAGATCATCAAAAGATGATTAATTTGATATATTATATATGTAAAACCGATAAGAAATACAAAAGTTATCTACTTTTAAAATACATTTATAATTCAATAGCTTATTGAATGAAACAAATCAAAATTTAGGGATATATTAGTCACTTAGTGCCTCACTATGTAAAATTACAAATAATTAAAGGGTTATATTAGTAAAGTGATATCAAAATACCTAAGTTAGCTAAATAATATTTATGGAATACCGGAACCTAGGTTATTAATTATTAGTATATTAATATTATTTGTCCAAGCCTAATTACGAAGCATGAATTTTCGCCAAATAGGATTCCGAAGCGCATTCAGAAATTATATATAGGAAAGATTTCGTGATTCGCATTGATTAATGAGCTGAAAGCGAGCGAATTATTAACTATACATTAATAATAACTAGTACAGAGCCCGTGCGATGCACGGGGTGCACAATTTTAAGGTCATTTATCCAATCTTATAATTATATAAATGAATAAAAAAAATATACAGGATATATATAGTACGTGACTTGTAATAGGACAAAATGTGAACGGGTGATGCACGAGGTGCACAATTTTAAAGTTATTTATTAGTACATAGCTCGTGCAATGCACGTGGTGCATAATTTTATAGTATGTGAAATAAAATACATACCGTGTGCACGGGACATAAGTACTAAATGAGTCATTTTCACAGAGTTTGTCCGTTAAGTAACTCTTGAACACGGGTGCACAATTTGTAGTACGTACCATAAAATCAGAATAGATTTCTATACAATTAGATAATAAATAAAACCTTTTTATTTTAGTAGAGATTTTACGTACTTTGTTTTTTTTACTTATCCGATGTTACGGGATTTATTTTGATAAACTGATTTTATGGATTATAATACAAATACAATTAGAGGATTGAACAAAATCAGAATAGATTTTCATATTATTAGATAATAAAAAGGGATTAGATAAGGAATTTTGAATCTGACTTTTTTTTCTTGATAGATAGACTTTACGTACAAATTTTGACTTCACTGATTTTATGGGATTTATTTTGACAAAATCGATGTTAATATGGAATAAACAAATAAATAAAGTCTTTTTATTCTACTAAAGATTTTACGTCTTTTTTTTACTTGTCAGATGTTATGGGATTTTTTTCTTAAACTGATTTATGGGATATAAGACAAATAAATAAAATAATTAAATAAAATTCTGGATAGAAATAACAATACATTAATTACGTTGATTTTTCAATTACTAAATTTGGTAAATAGGATACCTTATGTAATAAGTATAGATATAAATAAATAACATGCCAAAATTTTAAAGAATAATTAATGTATTTTAATTTATTATCTAGCCATCAGTAATATCATTTAATGATGTGATCATTATCTCTTAAATGATAAATAAAATATTAATCTAAAAAAATATTTGTTTCTTATACTCAAATAAAAATTTAAAAATATTATCGACAAATATGAATTATAACAAATATGAATTATAACATATATCAGTAAAATCATTGCAAAAGTTAATAAAATTATTTAAGAAAAAAATCTTTTTAATCATATTTGAATAGGAAATGTATATATGCAAGCAATTAATGCATATAGTAAAAAATTTCTAAATAAAGTATGCATTAAATGTGTGTTAACTTTTTTTGCTACTATTTTTGATAAATGGTATGACTTTTAATATAAGTATAGATTAATAAAAAAGTTCAGTAAAGACGAATGTCCATATAAATGTGAACGAAATTAAATTCTTTAATTTATAAGATGAAACAAGGATGCCACTTTTTCACTTCTATATACATTGAAATTTATTTATAGGATTAAATAGAAATTTCTTAAATTATATTTGTGAGACTTTTTTATTATTATTATTTTTTAGCGTTCAGACCACAAAAGAAAGCGCTTATCTTTCTTTCGGCAATTTTACATTATTAGATTTTGCTTTTTCCTTTTTTTTGTTAATTAGAATATATAAAAGGAAATTCATACAAGATTCTTGATAATACGATTGAAATGTACTTTGGGTATTAGACGTTCTTTTCCTCAACTAATTTTTGGACTCTAATTCCATTTGTTCTTAATTAAAAATATTAGAATATTTACGTGTGAGTTTCCCCACATTGTTTATATAGGGAAAATAGACCTAGTTTATAAATCTAATGAGCTACTCCTTCTTCTACAAATTGTTTTTGGGATGAAACATTACTTGGGCTTCATCTGATTTTCCTTTTCTTGGTGCTCTTTATGTGTGTGGGACCGCACCCGTTCTTCTCTGTTTCTCACATGGTATCAGAGCCGGTTTTATTGGGACCGTGCGATGACGTGCCCGTTTTCCCCCACGTACTCGATTATGGTAGTCTATTTCTAGTAGGACCTGTTTCTATAGGGCTTGGGCACCTAACTCCACTGTATATGAGCTTGGACTTTCTTATTAAGAACTTTACGTGCGTGGGACTGCACCCGTTCTTCCTCGTTTCTTACATGGTATCAGAGCCGGTTCTATAGGGACAATGCGATGACGTACCCGTTTTCCCCACGTACTCGTTTATGGGAGACTGTTTCTAGTAGGACCTGTCTAGTAGGACCTGTTTCTAGTAGGGTTTGGACACCCAACTCCACCGTATATGAGTTTGGACTTTTTTATTAAGGACTCACAAGTGAGGGGGCACAAGCGAGTGGTTTTGCGATGGAACCTCACTTAAGTTTCATATGGTTTTCCTTGTCTTGGTGCGCTTTACGCGTAAGACCGCACCCGTTTCCCTTCTTAGACAAAAGTTTTAGGTGATTTTGAACTGGACATTGTCACGAGTGCCGAAACTCAGCAACTCCTACTCAACAAAACAAATAGCTCAGAGATGGTAGTCTTTGTAAATTCAAATGCTTAGTATCAAATTCAAGGCTGCAAAGCTCACATATGTGTCAAAACATATATTGCAGTTATTTGTATTACTAATCGTTCAAATGTGATCAACTCTATTAATTTTTTCTAATAAAAGTATAGACAAAATCAAATAAAGAAAGTTGTGTATGAAGGTTTTTTTCAGTTACATATATGATATTTATATACTTTTATCGCTAAAAGCAACAATGGATTTAAATTTCACGTATTGAATTTATAACTCGATTAATCCATGATCATCTTAAGCTTGTGCGTGTATGGTCGACATTTAGCACATATAACATTTGTGACCAAGAAGTCTATTTGTAACCAAACTAACGTGCGATTATCAGTGCAGACATATGACACATTTTAAACTTATATAAAATGCAACACTAACAAGAGACGAAATCACACAGTTCTAATAAGAAGCACTGCTAGTCAAGACCTAACCTAATCCTTCTCACCTCATCTCCAATTTCCGCCGCCGCTCCTCTCTCCTTCTTCCACTGGCGCCCCATATTAGGAGTTGTACCTTTGTACCTTTTATATTATTTGTTGTATTATAGATTAACATATTAGACTAAGTAAAGTTGTTATTAAGTGAATAGAAACTCCTTCATTATTGTGATAGTATAAATAATCCCTTTGTAATCCTAAACAATCACGTTAACACATTCTTCGATTTCCTCATTGCAATACAATTTCTCCTCATATGTTCTTTTCACAATCTGACAACCCACAACTCTAGTCGCGCTGGCTAGAGGTTGGGTCCTGAGGCTAGAGGCCCTGCCGTCTCCCGATGCTGCACCTCGAAGCGCCTCACGCCGCCGTGTATTGGTTCTCCAGTCGCGGCCGTGAGCGGAAGTGGACCAGGTGCAATTGCGCCTTGTTGCGCTCTCTCTCGAGCCGGGTTCAATGTCGTCTTCACTACAAAAAAAACTCTTACATTCCAACAGAAATTTTCCGTTGGAATTTTTTATATTTCCGTTGGAATAGCTATTCCAACGGATATTCCTACGTATAAAAATCCGTTGGAAAAACGGCCGTTGGAATAGCAAATATCCAACAGAAAATCCTATGGAAATAAATTTCTACAGCTATTCCAACGGAAAAAATCCGTTGGAATTTCTCAACTATCCAATACTTATTCCAACATAAAATTAAGTTTGTTGGAATATTCATTGGAATTTTCAACGAAAATTTTTGCTGTTGAAATTTTTCGTTGGAATTGTAGTGTTTTTTTTTGTAGTGCTTGTCTTGAAGCTCTCTGCCTCGGCCAAGTCGGTTTCAGATTCCTAACCACAGATTCCATCTCTAGGAGGGTGGCCTCCACCGCCGAGTAGGGCCCCATTGGGTGAGCGAGTTTGGTTCCCAGGCATTGCTCGGAGCACATCTCCTTAGACCTTCTTTCTTCCTCGACTAGTGACTGCAGATTTGGCAGATCTGGAGCTGGTACTACCTAGCCGTTTCTGTGGAGTTTTTAGTTCGTGGGTCTGGCTCGGTTACGCTATTG